CGGGCCCATTAATCAATCGTACATTCATCATATTGTGGTGTTTCATTTTGTAAGAAACATATCACTCTATGAATATTCAGACTCTAGGTCAGTTGAAGAAATACCAGAGTCGTTGTTCTGTAAGAAACTAACGTGTTATAGATATCAAATGACAGTTCCCAGAAGCCATCTGTAAAGAATAAACCTTGCTCTACTTTAATGCTTGGCGAGAGGTGGATATTGTTTCACCAAGGTGAACAACAAACACGTTATATCAAAATTATGCTGAATTTACTAATCATTCTCTTATTGCGTAAATTCTGCAACCCCATCGGCTTACATCAAAGGGCGTGGATGTATTCCACAAGTGCTATGATAAAGTAAAATAACGTAAGTTCTTGATAACTACACAAATAACGTCAGATAATTTCGGATAAAATTCAAACTGCATAAATAAACTTAGGAATCACTACTAGTTCACGGCGTTCGTGAGATTGCTGAAACTTAATAACAGTAATTTTTATCCGGCACATGGCTACCCCATTGTTTAGCATCTGGTGATATGCCCAACTTGGATATTCTTTTTTCCGCTCTGTACTTAATGAAAACAAGATAATCATTATCTAAGCATAGATAAAAGAATTTATACGATTACAATATTATTCTTTTTTTATCTTATTATGTTTAATTAACTGCAATTAATTAATTAAACATTATTTAATACAACGGTGTGCATTCAAACACATTAGCTTTTAATGACTAATCCATTTTTGGTTTACAAAGTTAAACAAAAATACTGTTTCTCTTTTTAATAATTGAAATAAAGTAAAACCTTTTGTATTCACTCAAACACTTTTGATTTGTATAAGTTGAATATATTTGACGAGACAACACGAATTTTTCTCAATACTTCTGAAAACAAATTTAGCTTCTTTCGAACAACTGAAAAAACATCCTATACGAGGACGTTTCACTTTTTCAGGCCCCCCAATGGCACAGCGGTATGTCTGCGGATTTACAACGCTAGAAACCGGGTTTCGATACCCATGGTGAGCAGAGCACAGATAG